GGGAACCTACAGCTGGCAAGAATAAACTTGTTTCTGGGCAGTCCATGGCAGAAGAGCTCTTTTCATCCCCTCCACGGACTCTTTCCACAAACCCCAGCCCAACCAACTTGTTGGCTTGAATTGATTGCAAGTTCTTGTTGTTCCTGTGTAGGGTATGCACGAGCAAGCTGAATATGGCCATGCGGCTCATTGGATGTACAAAGAGGAGCGGGACATGATGGATTATGCAACAAATGCATTTCCAAATGCAGCGGGAAACGAGGGTGGAGACACAGGCAGAGCAAATGGGGCAAAAATTATTAATGGGGATATGCTGGGCATGGCACAAATGGTGAATGCAAACTTGTCATCCGAGGATGACAATGAGCAGCAATGCGAGGGGAGAGGACTTCCTGCAAGGCAGCAATGGGGAATGTGGAGTCCTGGGCACCCTGCGCTGAGGGTGCACCAAGGAAAGCTTCTTGCTGCGGTTGTGATTAGGTGAGAATTGATTCAAAAGAATGTGCCTGAGAGGATGGAAGGCAGTGTCAAATTTTCTGAAGAAGAGTTTGTAGAAGTGAGACATGAAGGGCTGTCTGCATCGTCCTAGAACTTCAAGAAAATGACTTTCCTGAGGCTAGTCTGGGCGGGCAAACTCGATCAAACTTAAGGCAGACTATATGTCTGGAACAGTCTGCAAAAAATTGAAAAAGCCAAGCAATAATAATGAAAGGAAGAAGTACTTTGGACGTCCTTTAAAATTGGAATGACACAGGGAAGATAAGTATGGCCCCTGCACAAGGACACAAAAAAGAAGTTAGAAGAGTTTCCTCATAATTGAAAGGAGCCCTGGGCATAAGGCTATTCCCTTTTCTGTATTAAGACAAGGAGATGCAAGGAGGATGAGCAATAGCGAACTTCAGCAATCAAACAGCATCATACACATGACACCAGATAGTCGTGACCTCGAACCAAAAGCAGAATTGCATCACGAGTTTCACCAAATAAGAGTACACCAAAAGCTCATAATTGACAATGCTGGAATAGTCTCATCGTCATCATCGACGAAGAACCAATGTTGATATGCTATCTGGCGCTCGGCGCCCAGACTACAGATGGCAGATCCTATTTAGCCTACTCTACGATGCCACTGATGGCGTCAACAGCTCCCCGAAGTACGAGCAGATCTCGGCCAATGCCGCACGCTTCAAGCACCAGGTATGTCTCTCGTATCACTCACAACCTCGTTCCCCAACTCACAGATGCCCCTTGCACCCAAGGACCACCATGCGCCCCATCCAGCATACAGCAGCACAGCTCGGCTATGGCTGCCTGCTCCTTCCAGCTCGCCCGTGAGCGCGTGAGCCTGGCAGGCGATAGCGCAGCAGCGCTTGCGCACAAAGCAGCCAGTGCCCGAATCTCCAATGCGGAGGCAGGCCCTTTGCTATATGGAAGTGGCCTGCCTGCAGCTGCGCTGGTCTTTCCCAAGAAGCTTCCGGTAGGCCCCGGTAGGCTGAGGCCCAGTCCAATACGAATCAGGCCCAGGGCCTGTGGTGGTTACTTGTGCCCAACTGCCATCGGCCTGTGTTTGGCCCATACCCCGTATCCAGCCCAGGGCCTGCCTTCCATACATGCAAACAGGCGGCCTGGGCCTGGGTGCTTTCAACCAACTGGTGCTGCGCAACTGCCTGAATTTTCCTCAGTTGCGTGGTGTCCGAAATAGGGGCCCTCAGGCCCTCGTCGAGCCTGCCTTCACTTAGTGTGGCCGACGTATTAAGTGACAGAGCCAAAAAGGGGCTCATCGGGGCCTTGGCCTCACATTCCCTCCTCCATAACTTAGCTAGTCCTGTGAGAAGTTCAGTCTTCGATAATCTGGCGCTTTCCTTTCCGCAGAGACTTCTCATATTGAGCTACAGCTTGAGGAGCGGTCTGCATGAGTTCCTCTCTGGTAAACCCTCGGTCCTCCTTGGGATTAGTGTGATGCCGAAACCGAACTCGATACTGCAGCTTCGGTTTAGGAGGACGTCCTCTGCCTGTTGGTCTTGGAACTGGCAGTTCTCTGTGGTCCACGATGTCATCAATGTCCATCTCTCCGTCCATGGTTGGGGGCAGCATTGAGCGACGAGAAGGGAACTGGTCGGTTTCTTTAAAAGGTGCAAGCCTGGAGGCGTGAAAGATGGGATAAGTACGGAGGTGACCAGGGACCGGGATTACATAGGAAGGCCCATCCGGATCAGTCCCAACAGTATCTAAGATCTCCCATGGTCCGAAGTACTGAGGCATGAGCTTGCGGGATATCCCGTGTTCCTGTCCCAGTTCTGAGGACTTAACCCAAACTCTGTCCCCTACCTGAAATGTAGACAGTCGGCGGTGTTTGTTTTCGGACTCTATCATTACCGCCTGCGCCTTCGACATTTGTTCCACTGCCTGCTGCATCTTATGTTCATATCGATAAGCGAATTCTAACGTACCCGGTGCAGCAGTCGGCTGGTTCTCAGGTAATAGAAAATCTAGGGTCAGTCTAGGTTTGAAAGTCAATAGTAAGCTGTTAGGGCTGACACCGGTAGCGCTGTGCACAGCGTTGTTATACAGACTGGCGATGAGAGCAAGCTTCTCATCCCAGTCTACCTGATTGGGCTTGATGTAATGCCGCAACAGGTGTTGGACAGCGCGGTTCAGTTGCTCGGCTTGGCCATTGGCCTCTGTGTGATTCCCAGAAGTCATCTGCAACTGTGTTCCCTGTTCGGCAGCGGCAGCCTTCCACAACTCACTGGTGAATCTGACATCCCTGTCACTCACAATTGTCTTAGGCAGACCAAAATCCCAGACCCGGTTCTCTTTAAACAATTTGATTACGTACTCGGTTTTCGCTGTCTCCGACATGGCAATTAGTCTAGCGTACTTACTAAATCTATCCACGATAACGAAGATGTGTCTCATTCCGCTCTTGCTTGTAACCAGCGTGTCCATGAAGTCCATGGGCAGGCTCTCACCAGGCCTTTCCGGAACCGGAAGAGGCTTGAGGAGCCCAAGAGGGGCCTGTGTATGGGGCTTGTCTCTCTGACAGACCTGACAAGTCTCCACGTACAGCTTGGCATCTCTCATCATCGTGGGCCACCAGAACCGCTGCAACAGATTGGCTGCAGTCTTCTTAAAGCCAAAATGTCCAGTGGCATCATGGCACTCGCCTAGAAACAAACTACGCAAAGACGCTCTATTAGGCACACACAAAGGTTTATTCCCTTCCTTCTCAAGGAACAACAGACCGTTGACCAACTCAAACTCGACAGAAGTGATTTTATCCTTCGCCTCGAGTCTGCAAATGATCTCAGACATAAACTGATCCTCGCGATAGGCTTCCACCATAGAGTGAGTGACATCGTCCGCAAGCCCAAACTCAGTGATCAGCGCACCAGAGAAATCTGGTCTACGCGACAACGCATCCGTAGTTACTATAAATGGCTTGTCAGGATCAGAAAGTTTCAAGACCTCATGATGCGTCAACGCATGCTTCAGATGTCTGAAAGCAATCTCGCATCTGTCTGTCCACTCCCATGGGGTGTCAAGGCGAGTTAGTACAGTCAAAGGGGCGGCAACTATACTATAGTTTTTCACAAAATTGCGATAGTAGCCGGTTATGCCTAAGAAAGACCTCATCTCAATCACAGACTGAGGACGCGGCCAGTCACGAATGCTGGCCACCTTCGCGTCATCGGGTTTTAAGCCCCCCGCGGAAAGCTCATAGCCCAAGTACAAGACACGGGTGCGGCCAAACTCGCACTTCTCACCGTTGATCTTGAACTTGTGCTGTAGCAGAAGACTAAGGACTTTGTCCAAGTGCGCAACATGCTCTTCGACAGTCTTACTAAAAATAAGTATGCCATCGAGGTACACGATGAAAAACTTATCCAAGTAGTCATGAAATATCCGATTCATAGCGTGCTGAAAGGTGCCAGGAGCATTGCGAAGGCCGAAATGCATCACCAAAAACTCGTACACACCGTACCTGGTCCGAAAAGCGGTTTTGGAAAAAGATTTTTTTTTTTGTTGGTGTCGTCATATCAATCACACAGGAAAAAAAAAACGATGACAGTGGCAGAATGTTTTTGTTTGTCTCTCGCTCTTTGTCTGACCGGTGCTTGTCGTCTACTCTGTCTGTTTCTCTCTCTCTCTCTCTCTCTCTCTCTCTCTCTCTCTCTCTCTCTCT